ACACACACACACACACACTCCACATCTCAGTGAGAGGCTGAAGCTTTAAGTCCTCCTCCTCCCTCCTGCAGATCTTTTAACAAACCTCTAAACATTTTTCTGCTGGCCCCCACACACACACACACACACACACACACTCCACATCTCAGTGAGAGGCTGAAGCTTTAAGTCCTCCTCCTCCCTCCTGCAGATCTTTTAACAAACCTCTAAACATTTTTCTGCTGGTAACTGGAGGCACACACACACACACACACACACACACACACACACACACACTCACACAGACACCAGTATAAACCAGTATGAACACACACACATACACACACACACACACACACACACACACACACACACAGACACCAGTATAAACCAGTATAAACACACACACAGACTGATCTCCAGAGACAGACCTTCTTCTCATATATAATTATTGTTCATCATCCTGCTCTGGGAGCTTCGTCAATCAGCTGTTGTGCAGAGGAGGTTTAACAGGAGTGAGTCCCTCCTGTTAAACCGTTGGTCCTCCCCAATAATATAAACACACCAGCTGCATCTTTACCAGCTCCATCAGTGTCTTTACTGGCTGCATCGGTGTCTTTACTGGCTCCATCAGTGTCTTTACCAGCTCCATCAGTGTCTTTACTGGCTGCATCGGTGTCATTGGTGCAGCCGGCCCCAGTGGATCAGTCCAAGGCTGAATTTCTTTCCCAGTCCGACCGTGGAGAAAATGTGACATGATTGTTTTCATTAGTGACGGCTACAGTAGACATGCTAACATTAGCTAATCTGCTATTTGTTTTGGTCTGATCCCCCCCCCCCCCCCTTTCAAAACATCAGTAGATCCTTATTACTCATTAATGTAAAAGCAGCAGCTGTAACTGTAACTAACGATGTTTCTGATGATAGATTAATGAGCTGATTATATTCATTGTTTGGTTTGTAAAACAGTGAGAACCAACCAGCTCCTTCATGATTCTTTCAAAATAAAAGCCTCTGGAAGCAGTGTGGACTCAGACCGGGTCTCTCTGTCACTCCTCAGGACCGAGATCTGGACTGGAAGCTGGAGGAGGTGCGACGAGCCGGGCGGAGCCTCCCTGAAATCCAGGTCATCGATTGGTTCATCCAGTTGCTGCTTGGCCTGCACTACATGCATGACAGGTGGGGTACGGTCGTCATGGCAACATTGTCCTCTCTCCCTCCACTGCATCCTCATGTTCATGTTCTTCCTTCTTCCTGCTCTCTGAAAGTTTCACTCTGTGGAGGATCAGTGTTGTCAGCCCCCCCCCCCCCCAGCTTCACAGAGGTCAAAGGTTGTCCATTCATTAAATGTAGTGAACTGGATCCAGATGTTACAGATACATTCAGCTCTACACGCCATCAATCAAGCAATAAAAAAGGGTCAATCAATCAATAATCAGTCAGATAAATAAGTGAATCTGATCTCTTTGTCCCGTTTCCTGCAGGCGAATCCTCCACAGAGACCTCAAGGCCAAGAACGTCTTTCTGAAACAAAACCTCGTTAAGATCGGTGAGTTTCCTCCTCCTGCTGCTGCAAAGGCTCATGGGACCTTCTCTGTTTGTTTGAGCTCTTACTGAACATGTGTGTGTTTGTGTTGATTCTCTCTTGCGCTGCGTTCACTGACAACAGAAACTGTAAACACAGGAACATAAATAGACGCAGTTAATTATGAGTCTGTTCCAGCAGCAGGAAGTGGATTCACTCTGAGCCAGCACACACGCACGCACGCACGCACGCACGCACGCACGCACACACGCACACGTGCATATGGTGTAACATGTCATGTGTTGTGGCTTTTTTTATGCTCCTCAGTGGATGAATCATGATTGGTTTGACTCTCTGACCACACTTCCTCCCTGTTCAGTCAAGGTATGGGGCCAGTTGCACAAAACACCTTAAGTTTTCTACTTAAGACACTTCAGGTTTAATTTCTCCTCAGCCGAGGGAGTAACTGAAGGGTGTTGCAGAATCTCTTCAAAGGTTTCCTTAGTTAAGGAAAAACACGGAGGCATTTGCAGCAGTGAAAGAGATTATACAACGGTAAAATTCTACTGTTTCCATGGAGACCTCATGTTTGCGGTCATTAGCACTTGTGATACGTGTTATCACTTTTGGGAAGCTGGACATTAAAATTATTAGATTAAATTAAATTAATTTTGTGTTGTGTGATCTTCACACTGATGTCAGCGATACAGGCTCTTATTTTGACACCTGCAGGTCAGACGTCCTGATCTTCTTCCTGCTCTCCAGAGGATGAACCTCCTCTCAGGACAAACCTCTGCTCCTCCACTGCTCACACTAAGGACTGATAGATGTTGTTCCTCGTGTGTTTGCAGGGGATTTTGGTGTTTCCTGTCTGCTCATGGGATCATGTGACCTGGCCACCACCTTCACAGGGACGCCCTACTACATGAGTCCAGAGGTGGTGACCCACCAGGGATACGACTCCAAGTCTGACATCTGGTGAGGTTTCTTAAAGGAGCCGTTTCTCTCACTGTCAACAAAACAAACACAAACCAACAACATGTCATCACTTCCTGTCTTCCCTCCTCTGTCTGAGTCTCTGCTCATTGGTTGCTACCGAACATGTAAATCTTTAAAAACACTAATTTCTCAAACAGCTGCTCACTGTAGCTTTTATCAAACAAACAGGAGAAAACTACGGAAGCTCGGGGTTGTTTCCTACAGAAGAGAAACTAAACTCAGAAAAATATTCCTGGCAAAAAAAAAAGACTTTGCCTTTCAGGGTTTCCATAGCAACAATAACTTTGTTGTTGTTTATTTTGACTGTTTTCAGCCCCCCCCCCCCCTCACCGGGTCTAAACACACTTTCTCACACACTCTCGCTGTGGGCAGTACACCGTAACATTTCTTTAGAACCAGCCTGGGCTCATTTTCCTCCGCTGTGATTGGTTAGGAGCTGGAGGCTGCACAGGTGCATTGCGGGAAGGATGGAAGGACTCCTGCAGGTGAAGAACAGGAATTCATTTAGTTTTTGTCGCTGCAGGAAGGAGAACGAGAATCAGCTGAGTCACATCAGGTTCAGACGACCTGCATGAACGTCGTTTACTCCACAGACCGAGGCCGAGCCTGCAGCTGTTTGTTGAATTTAGGGAACAGGAACATCTCTCTGATTGGGTGAGATAAGTCGTGTCCCTGAAGGCATCAGGCAGGATGACAAATCGAACACACGGTCAGTGAACTCAGCTGATTCCTGATGTGATTAATCATCAGATGAAACAGGAGCTCAGAGGTTCGTCCTGAAAGAGTGAAGGATGAGACGAACATCACTGCAGCGCAGCTCGTCTCTTCACTAAATCCAGTCAGAGAGACTCTGAGCTACAGTGTCCTGTCTTTGATCCGTCAGCTGATGAGTTCAGGTGTGATCAGATCATCACAGCTTCAAACTAAATCACTGAGTCAGGAGGGAACTTCTGTGTTTGCAGTGTTCAGGTTAGTTTCATTGATCCAGACTAACGCGTCGTTATCAGGCTGAAGTGATCCCGTTAGCTCTCGTGGTTCTTCACGGACACAGGTTTGATCTGTTAATCTCAGATAAAGTTAGCTTGGAGGAGAATGAGATTGGCTGATCATGTGTGATTGGTTGATGTGGCAGTACAGCTACAGACAGACTCCCCCCCTCCTCCTCCTACTAATAGAGACAAATAGATGTATATAAACTGTAGATACAGATAGAGAGAGAGACTGACCATTTTATTTGGTACACCTGGTTGTAGTGGTGATGGTGCTGCTTTTTACCCATTACACAAGACTTCACACCAGTGGTTCATATTTTCTCTGACTCTGGATAAACAGGATGTAACCTGAACGTAACGACCACGAGGATGTGACTCTAGTTTCTATGAGACATTAAAACCAGTGAGACGTGACTGAACAGCGTCTGTATTAGACGTTGAGACCAAACTGAGCAACAGAATCCAGTGATTTGAAGTTTCAGACTGTGGTGGAAGAAAAGAGAAACCATCAGAAAATCAGTTTGATCCTCGTTGTTCTGTTGGTCTAGCTAATTAACCACCTGCTTCACTTTCTGCCGCCTTAATTACCTCTGTCTGTTTATTACCTGATAACCGCCCACAGAACAACATCCGTCACCTCGGCAACAGTCGGTGAACCTACGGCTCTGCTTCCTGTCTGTCTTCAATGATCTACATGAACAAACATGTTTATCACTCAGTAATTACTAATTAACTACGTCTCTCTGTTCCATTAATATGTTCACATGCATCTGTCAGTTTATTGCTAAGTACTGATCCACTCTAATGACTTGTATCTACGAGTCATGTTGCTGTAACAGGGTCAGATACAGGGGACTCAGCATGGTCCTGTCAGTGCCCCCTGGAGGCTGCAGCGTTCATCACACCCAGGGTTGCCAGGTTTGTTTTCGTCCATCCTCCATGACGAGACTGTAGCAGATGAAATGAGGCTGAACTGTGTGTTTGAATCAAAAACAGTTCATCAAACCCAGCACTGATCAGCCGACCTAGACCCCCGTGCCCCCCCCAAAAACCTCAGGTTCACCATGAGTCACTTGTTGTGTGGGCGCTCAGTTCACAGAGTTTCCAACAATGATCAAAGTGCTGGATGATTTTTTGACACGTGTTAATCTGGTTTGAACATCTTTATGATATTAAGTTTCTTTGGGTTTGATATTCATAGAAAAGTTTATGAGGCTTTAGGTGACATATCACAGTAAATAAACAGATTATTTGTAAGTTTAGCTATCGCTACATAGCTAGCGTTAGCATTAGCAGCTGCTTACTCCCCAGTCAGGAAGAAACTTCATTCCTTCACCCACCAACATCTGTCTCCAGAGGTGGAAATAAACACCAATGTTAACTCTTGTTTATGCTACTGAGGTTAGCAGGCTAACAAGCTAATGCCGGTCCGTCTCGTCACTTTCTGATACCGAGTCACTGTGTGCTGTAATCTGCCCTGGAGCAGCAGCTGCTCAGAGGAAAATATATAATAAAATCTACAGGGTTTGTCAGGTTTACACCACCTAAGACATTTAATACTGACACAAAGAAGAGGGTTCACCTTGGGTGCACTTCCCGTTTTCTCCGAAATAGCTCATACTCTGGCTGTCTTATCAGCCTGCAGACACTCAGCTGCGGTTTCCTGTAAGATAGCTCAAACACAAAGCAGACTACACACACACCGTTAGTATGAAGTAGTTAATACATAATGGTAGACAATATGGGATAACTTATGTACAATTATTCTGTCAATTAAAAAAAGGGACTTCATTATTAAAATGAAGAAACTTGCATCACTCTCTGCTGCTAATTACCCCCCCGTCCTCCCCCCTCCTCCTCCCCCTCCTCCTCCGCCTCCTCCTCTCTGACCTGTTCTTCACTAATTATAACAACTGACCTCTGACTGCTCTGTGTGTGTGTGTGTGTGTGTGTGTGTGTGTTAGTTAATGAAGGTGGACTCTTCTCATTAGGAACCTTGAGTGAAATGACCTTTGACCTCTGTGCTCTCTCAGATATGATCCGAGTGTTTAAAGTCTCCAGTGGCAACAGACACGTCCAGATGTTTCCTGATCCTCCTGGTTTGTGCTGGTTCTGAGTCCAGCTGCTGATCTGGTCTGTGCTGGTTCTGGTCTGCAGGGCTCTGGGCTGCCTCCTCTTTGAGATGTGCTGTCTGACTCACGCCTTCCGGGGGCCGAGCTTCCTGTCCGTGGTGATGAAGATCGTGGAGGGAGAAACCCCAACGCTCCCCGCCTCCTTCTCCCCTGATCTGAACTCCGTCCTGCAGAGGTGAGGAGGAGGCTCCGCCCTCCTGGTGCCTCCAGGTAAACTGTGACTGGAGGATCAATACAGGCTTTTCTCCTCTTCCACTATATGAGTTTTTATTCCTCCGCCCGGAGACAGTCAGAGCCGGCGGCCATCTTGTTTTCAGGTTGTCCGTGTTATTCATTTTCGTGGACTCGATATCTCAGAAACACTTTAAAGGAGCTTCTTCACATTTGGTACAAACATTCACTAGGACTCAAGGATGAAATGATTAGATTTTGGTGGTCAAAGGTCAAAGGTCAAGTTGACCCCACAAAACACTTTTAATTAACGACTGATTATGAGTTTGATGAGGCTGGTCCTGACTGGACGGACAGCTCCTCCTCACACATGAAACCACTGAGACATGATGAACCAGCTTCATCCTCCTCTTCCTCTTCTTCATCCTCCTCCTCCTGACACAGGATGCTGCACAAACAACCTTCGTCCAGACCGTCAGCTGCAGAACTCCTCAAGACCAAGTTCATGGAGAGACACATGCAGGTCTGACACGCACACACACACACACACACACACACACACA